CATTACTTGCCTAAGGAAACAGTTCACCCTCTCCCAATCCTTTTTCTTTTTCATCAGCTCATCCTTTGACTAGGAGCTGTATTAATCACAGCCTATCAATACAGAGAACGTAAAGAGAATTTAAAGCACTCTACATTAAGGACAAAACTAATAAACTCTTGGATTCATGTTTAGGAGCTAGGGTGTGAACCTCTGGGAGTAAATATATTGACGAATTAAAATCACATTAAACAGGAAGGAATGATACATTATTAACAACCGTAAAACTTTTTTTTGTTTTCAGTTACGATACCAGAAGTGCTTGGTAGCCAGGCCACCTTCACAGAAAGTTCGACCGCCTCCCCCACCAGCAGACTCTGTGACCAGAAGAGTCACAACCAATGTCAAACGAGGGGTCTTATCCCTCATTGACACTTTGAAACAGAAACGCCCTGTCACAGAAACGCCACAGCTGCACATGTGAGAGGACTCTGTGCTATTTGCTGAAGGTTGAACACACTAAAGAGGAGCTGATCTCTGGCCTTCCATTCAGTTGCTGATGCTTTGTCTTCAGAGAATTTATCCTTAACCAAACAGTGTTAGACAGCATGTTCTCTCGTCTTGCCACCATCGTGTGATATGAAAAGAAGCATGACTAATTTTTTTTGCTGTTGGTAAGTTACATCATGAGCAGTGGAAGGTCCCTTTCCTATTGTAAATATCGTAAACCTTATGTAATTTCACACACACACACACACACACACACACACACGGGAAGAACGTGGCCACATCCCTCCCAGTGAAGATGCTGAATCCTTGGAGTGAATGACACCTGAGTTAGTTTCACTGTCTTCTTGACTGGATCTGTCACAAGCAACTGTTAAGTCCTACAGCACCTTGCCCTGTTTTCAGCATTGGATTAGACACTGCATACTGGATACCATTGAATTGCTATAAAAATTGGATGACAAATTTTTGTTTTAGTTTTTCATAAAATCGAATCTTTGGTTGACAGAACTGGCTGTTGGCATCAGAATAGAGACCAGCTGGCAGCTTTCCTTGACGAGCTTCTTGACACATGGACACCATTTCATGTCTACAGCTGTTTGTGGGATATTGGGGGGGAAAGTGAAGCTTCACAATTGAAAAACTAAATTTCAGAAATTAAAATCGAACAAAAATAGCCTTTCTGTTTAGGTGGCTTTCAAACTGATTAAGAAAAAGAAAGAGATTTCTAAAATCAGAATACATTTTGGGTGGGACATTATTTCAAACTTCTGCCTTATATTGTACAATGCAGCTACAGAATTATAGTTCACTATGGCCATTCTCTACATAAACAACATTAAAACGAAATATTCCTCGTAAGCCTTTCATCCTTAATTTGATAATTAGCCAATATGCAATTTGGAGTTGAGGAAATGCCATTTTCTATCGTAGATGATCTCCACCATGTCATGTTGCAGTCCCCATTCTAGGTAAACGTTCTGCCAGGATTCTACATCTAGCTCAGTCTTACCCTAATGCTTTTTGCCCAGAAAGCTGTCTGTCCATCATGTATTGTCCATGGCAACAAACTGCATTACAATGAACCTTTCTGCATTTATGTGTTTAATATTAAAATTTGTTGAACTTTAGATATATTTTTAAATCTATATTTTTTCCATTTATCTTCAAGATTTAAGAATTTCTTATCAGAGCAAAATATACGTAGGAACAATGTACTATTTAACAGGTTTCCCAAAAATAGCACTTTCCTGCTTCTTTATCAATAGACAAGAGACTTAGCTGTAAAGATACACAGATTTAGACTCTTGTTGATACTGTTTAAAAGAAGTCGCTAAGAAGCTAAATCTAAACATGTTTTGTTTACTTTTCAGTGATAAAATTATCATTTTATAGCATCATCCAGTTATAAAAGCAATGCTTTATGTTTATCTACTGCTATGTACTTGTCAGAATGGTTTCCACATTTTTATCATCACATTTGAGCCTTATGAGGTAGAGAAGGTAATAAACACATTTGAGAAATAAAAAATATGAATTAAAGGGGCTCAACCACCTAGCCTAAAACCTCAGGAAAGTGAGTGAGAAAGCCAGGACTAGAACTCATGCATCTCAACTCCCAGTTATTAAAGTTACGCTGCTTACACGCAAGTCAGGAGTCGTCTTTTCAAACTTACTCTGAGCATATCCAGTTATTGTCAAGCAATCTTAAGATTCCCTGAATAGGCAGGGAAGTATGGCCAAATTACTTGTGCAGTAGAATTAAGTATAAAACCAACGCCCTCTCTCAGTCCAGGACTGTTTCCCTGCATTGTGCCTCAGATGTGTTGTGAAGACAGGATTCTGTGTGCAGCACAACCTGCTCAATCCACAGACTATCCAGAGATGATGTTACGTGCGGTAGAAATACTCCTATTTCATGACCCTTAGCCGCCAGAGAACATGACGGAGTGGGTAGGTGGCCTCCCGCCCCTGTTCCCTCTCAGAACTGGAGTTGTTTGCTAGCACCCTAGAGTTATGACAAAAAAGATGCCACTCTAGCAATGAAGTATACTTCTCACCAGCCTATATACTATTCTATGGAAGTTACCAGTAACATCCTAAGAAATTATGTCATTAAAGGAGTCCTTACTGTGCCCTTCAGAATTCAATCATGATGATCTTTCATCTTGACCTCCACAGTGAAACATTTTAGTGTGATAAACTTCAAAATTCTTAACTAGTGAGCCACTTTTATATTGGAAATCTCTACCAGAGTTGCATTCATTGTTAAGGCATATGTTTGTTTTCAGGATCAAGAATACTGAGCTAGCTTTAAATAGCAAACTGATTTATATATGCAATTATAGGATGCATTAAGATGAATGATAGCCTTTACATACTGAAAACTTTACTGCCGATATTTTGTTTCAAAAATAGCTTTGCATAGTAAATGCAATTACTTTTGTAAAACTAATTATGTTAAGCCGTATGTTCAGACACTTTCTGCCATGGCCAAAAAGTATGTATGAAAGTGTGTGTGTATTTTCTGTGAAAGGGTGCCAGTGTTTTACCTGAAATTGTAGTGACACTTCAGTTATCTATGCATTCTTTGTATCTGTGATTCGGTAAACAGGCGGCCATGTTCACTATGCCTTGTATGTCTTATCATTTTTTTAATTAACCTGTTAAATACAGCTTAAAATATTTTTATTTTATTTATTCTATTTTTACTGAAATATACTGCATTATTGTGTTTAATGTATTATTATCTTCACTGGATATTATCTCTCAATGTATCCAGGTCTAAGTAATCTCAGTGAACTATACATTGCCTCAAAGGTGGTTTTGTAATGATTTGTAGTCACATTTTTATTGGAATATGTAGAAGAAACGGCAAAATACTTAGAAGTTTCTTTTTATCTTTTAAAAGCAGCTAGATAGACGCATACTTGCCACCTCATATATGTGCTCCTTGGCCACATCAAGGGGAATAGCCAACATGCCTATGGCTAGAAACTTTACTTTGCAAACTTAAAGCACTGCTTGGTGCTTCATTTTTATATCCTTCACGACACGTGTGAACTTATCTAGAGACACACACATGTCCTCATGCCCTTTGTTTCCACCTGAATATATGATCAACCATAGCTAATTGGGACCATTGTTTTTTGTTTATGTCTGTCTTACTGCATGAAGCAACATTAGACCCATTCTCATTAAAATAAGTTCTTGGTGATAAACTGTTGGCACTGCTACTTTTTTTAAAATGCCACTTTCATGATTTTATGATGAGCATTTGTACAAGTCTACGCAAGGTCATTTACTAGAAGCCCTAAGTCTTTCCTCCTTTTCTTACATGACGCACTCACTTCATAAGCACTGCAACACAAAGTAAAGATTTCATTAACAATGTGAAAAACATTTCCCTAACTGATATTAGCACAGCTTAACTAGTAAAAGCATTAGCTCTCTAGTTTGCCAGAGTTACTCCACCCAGTACACAGCTAACATGTGTTACACAGCCTGTAAAATGAAGTTTAATTTATTTCACCTTCAGAGAAAAGATACTGCACACACTTTATCAGTGAGAGCACGCCCTATCATCCAGAGCAGCTTGTTTATCCCAAAAGAACATTTGGTTTTGCTTTTGGCCACTTCTGCTGTTGACCACTTTACACATTTAAATGTAATATGTTGTGAGAATAAACTTAGCTGTGAAATGTTCGGCTCATTTATCTGACATCAGTTATACATATCCAGGCACAGCAATAAAAATCTCCATGCCAGCCATTTTATTTTCAAATTATTCTTAAATTTAAAACCATTTTAGTAATGTAAGATTTTGCTTTGATTAGCTGTTGTATATTTCTACCTGGTAAGAACTAGAAAGTAACTAAATTTTGAATAACTCATCACACTGTCCTTATTTGTTACTCAGGAAGGACATCTGGCATTTTGGACTTAGCGGCCTATTTAGTCGCCAACTTGATGCTCGTGTATGCACTCTTTCTAGTATTAAGAAAGTCCATTTTTACTTTAAGACCCTGATGTCAAAGAATGAAAGAGTTCTACAGGCACTAAATCCAAAACGAAAAGTAACTGGAAAAACAGTATTTGAATCTGGTTTAACTGTTAGGCATATAGAAGAAAATAAATGGAATTTAAAGTGTATACCCATTTTTTTTGTTCATCTTGCGTTTCCTCCCATAGTTTATCTTTTTTTCTCAAAGGCAGTTACTCTTCAAAGAGCAAAGTTTCAATTGGTTTCAGTTATTATACAGTGGTAAATAATTACAGATTAAAAATCTGAATTTGCTATTGGGATATCTAAATACCAGTAATTTCATTATTTTAGTTTTTGCAGCATTTTTCTCTTAAGCTGAAGAAAGAAAAATGTCAGTGTAATCAGTATTTTTCACTAGAATTCTAGCATTGTTTTTATCCAAAGTTTTTTTCCCTTTTTACTCTACTAAAATATTTAAACAATTGATCACATCCTTCTTAGAAGATTCTCAAAGAAGAAAACCACAGGCTTAATGAAGGAATGGTTTAATATAGAATCTCCATATACTTATAAAGAGAAAAATAATTTATAACAAGATTCATGTTATGAGATACTGGAGTTGCTAACGCTGTGACATGACATGAACTATACACTGCTATAGAGCTCAGAAAAACATCCTGAACTACTCCATAATAGGGTGAGTTTCTTCTTATACCTTATCACAGAAAGTAAAAATCTTGGACCTGCTACTTCTGGACAGTGGCGTGCTCTTCAGCCTGGGGCGGAGGGGTGAGGACAGGAAAGGGATAAAAGGTTCCTGGGATAAAGTATCAGGTCTTCACTGAACAAAGTTCAGTTCAGCTGCGCTTGCCTCCCAGAGGCATGGAAGGCTCTGAGCCAGTGGCAGCAAGAGGAAACCATACTCTGGTATCAGAGCAAAGATTATATAGTTTTTGATTTTTGAAATTAGTAAAATAAGCTGAGCATTTAAAACATTTCCATAGTTCTTAAGTCATAGTTAACATGAAAATTCTTTGGGGATTTAAAAATAATATGTCTGGTTCAAGTATAAAAAGTCATGTTTCATTGACATGCATTACTGATAAGTATAAATCGTCAGCTAAAGAAATTTATTACTACTAAATGAAGTCCACCATTTTTATCCTCACTTCAAGTGAGGAAATTAGAGCTGAAATGAACACTAGAGCTGAAACAGACCTAAATATTCATCTTAAATAAGATAATATTCTCCTAAAATCATGACATCTGAATTGAAATTTAGGAATTTATATAACACTATTCAACACAAGTGGATTCTGAAAATAGAACTTTAAATTCAAACTTTATAAATGTGTCTATGAACATGTTCTTAAACAGCAGGATTTATAGTTGTAACTTACTTGATTGAATATCAATTTCTGTTGCCATGATGAAAAAAAAGTCAGTAGACCCAGAAATAATAACCATAACCAGTTCTTGGAAGGCAACTGATAATACAGTCAAGATGAACTGACTTTTAATATAATTAAAATAGTGCTACAATATGTTTTAATTGAGCATCAGAAATGATTTACCAGGGCTTCACTACTGTGCGCCATCTGAAATGAAAGTTTTCACCTGATCTTTGAATAGACCCAGAAATTTGTATACATTTCTTTAACAATAGGTGTGTCACTTATATTCAACAGTTTGACCTTGTCCTCAGAATTACTACTTAGATGGAAATTTGCTTAGTCTTTTTTTTTTTTAACAACAGTATTTGGCATAAATAGTCAGAAGGGAGAGCTTATGTTCACTGTGCTTAGGATCCTGGAAGCTCTTCCAGTGAGAAAGTTTTCACCCTGAATGGACATAGGAACTAGAACACTGGGCCTTTCTGTTTTTCCTAATTCTACTCAACCTCAATCACATTACAAAAGATCAACCTCGACAGTGACTGAAATGTTTAAACTACAGCTGACTCGATACTGAAGAGTGATCTAAGGTCTATGCAAGAGCATCTTTTCCATACTTATGCTGATAAACCGCCTCACAAATTAACTTTGAAAAGAAGTCTGTTACAAGGCACACACTGTTTCCCTTGTGGAAAAATTGTTGCAGCTTTAAAACCAGTGTCCTAAGTCCAGACTGAAAGTTACCAAGAGTGAAACCAGTTCTAACAGCTGTCTAACCTGCAGACTCTGGGGGGGGAGGGGGAATCTATTCCTGACCCTGTAGAAAAAATGCAAGACACTCACAGCTATGGTCGAGGATGCCTGGGTAGAGAGGAAGGAAAGTTTTCTTTAGGTTTTTCCCCTCTTCTGGGTATTGATGGTGTGGAAAGATAGCCAGGCAAGACGGTCTTGGGCCCAACCCAACGATAATAAAAATGCGGAGTTGGTATGTGAGATCTGATCCGTTGCGGACTGGGAAACGGCAGCATGACTGGAGGCAAGGCAATCTCTATGGGTTTCAGTGGAATCATTCTGTCTTCTGGCCGAGGTCTCACGAAGTTTGTTGGCCGTTCATATGGTCTGGAAGATGTGTTCTTCATAATTGTAGGCACTAAAGGATTGGTGGTGGGCTTGCTGGGTTTTCTGACCTGTGAAGAAGACCCCACTTGACTTGTATTTTTCTGAGGAAGAGATGTTTTTGTTGTTAATGTCTCCGACTGATTAGCGCTCGCAGTAGTTTCTCGACTCAGGAACTCGGCAATTTTCATCTGGATGCCGCTGTTATCAGCGATGGAAGATTTTGGCAGCGACATCCTTTGCTTCTTCTTCTTCTTCTCCCGTTTTGAAGGCTCACCCAACTCCATCCCCTCCAGGAGACCCTTCGCCGCTGCACGGGCCAAAACATCTTTCACAGATACTGTCTCAGATGGGTCCCGCTATGATGGAAGAAGCAGCTAGTAAATGGGGGGGGTTACCTGTTACCATGTACACCACAAATACTTATCAGTGTTTCAGTAAAGATAAAACAGTATCATTATTACACTAAAAGAAATAGTTTTTAGGCTTCAGTCCCTACTATATCCCATAAGCTTCAGGAAATTACTTTCATTATACTTAAACCTCCCCATTTGTGAACCTGATAGAAAAGAAAAAAAAAAAAAACAATTACAGTTTATTTCTTATCTGTGAGCTAAAATGAACTAGATGTTAACAAGTGCTTAGAGAGGTGGGGGTAGAGAGTAAGCAAGGGAAGAATACTCAGGAGAAGCATAAAGATAAAAAAAAACAGGGATTTTTGGCCACACAGTAATAATTCCTTTTCATGCCCTTTAGGTATTTATGAAATAAGCATACCATTATGAAATGTTCATAAAATTCCTAGGTTCCTTGTATGAGGCTTTGTTGTTTCTTAATCCCTAAGTATGAAATGGACTGGGGTTTTATCCTTACCTCCCTTGTTAGAACAGAAAGAAAACAACCATTGGTAATTTCAGATGGTTCCATTCTAAAAAATTTGTCAGTAGACAAATGTATTTCCTTTAAGGAGCACAGTGGAAGGACAGGGGGACTAAGCCTGCAATAGATAACAGCAAATAATTAACAGTTAGAATGCTTTATTTGCCAATCAAGGGAGACAGTAAATTGCAACAAAGCACACATGCATGCACCATTTGTTTAAACAAAAATTCCAAATAAGAATAAAATGTCAAGGGGAGCAAACAAAGGATCGAAACGGAACCTGTGCCCCTGGGAGGGAACCGTCTAAGAGGAAAGGTTCCGGCCCCTGTGAAGTCCCTTCACCAGCAGGGGGAGTCACTGGGACAGAGAGGGCGCTTCCCGAGCAGAGCGCAGAACCTGCCGCAGCAGGCGGACAGCCAAAGACGGGCACAGATGGTCAGCGCCGGCTGTGCGCTCCCCGGCCCGAGACACACGCCCACTGGTGCAAGCAGGGGCTGCGGGCTGGAGCTCGGGCTTCAAAGGGCCAACCTGGGGACAGGACCGGGGTTGGCTGTGCAGAAACAGCCTGGAGGGGCTGGATCCTGGTGCGACTGCAGCCAACAGGGTATGCAGAGGAAGCCTGAGCCCACCACAGTGGTGATGTGCCACTGTTGAGGGCATGTGAAGGGAGGGGCGGAACCTGCCTTAGCAGCCTCTTTCCCGCACACGTGCTCCAAGACAACAGGACTCAGGCTACAGGAGTTCCAGGAGCAGGCGCCAATCACTGCACGTGAGCTCCAGGAACTGGCATGAGCCACGGACAGCATCACAAGTTCCAGGGGCATCAGCAAGCTGCCACTGAGAGCTCCGCGAGTGGGCGCTAGGTGTTACTGTGAGAGAGAATGCCAGCAACTGCATCTGCACACACTCCATCAGTGGGATAATGGACAGCACACGTTGAGGAAAGAGGCAGCAGGCGTTCATACCGAAAACAACCCTCACTCAAAAAACACTGAACCCACAGAAGCTACACAGGGCTGCTCCCACATATAAACGGCCCTCTAAGGCCACAGAAGATAGTTCCTAAAAGGGAAAAATATGTAACCGAGAATACTATACCCAGCAAGATTGTCCTTTAGAACAGAAGAAGAGATAATTTCTCAGACAAGCAAAAACTAAAAGAATACAGTAATACTAAACCTATCCTAAAAGTAATTTTGAAAGGTCTTCTCTAAATAGAATAGGAGCAAGAATTTACAAAAAAGAGAAAATCCCAACTGGAAAATAAGTCACGTAAGCCAGCTAAAGGATAAACATGAAGATGTAAAAGAGACATCAAAATCATAAAATGTTGGGGAGGAGAGTAAGAAAATGTAGATTTTTTTTTTAGAATCTGTTTGAGCCTGTATTACTATCAGTCTAAAGCAAGTTGATAACAAAAGGGGCAAACATACTTGAAAAACAGAATAACCACAAGTCAAAAACATACAACAGATTTACAAAAGACAAGAGAACACAAAAAGTAATCACCAAATCACAAAAAGGAAAACAAAAGGAAAAAGTAACAAAGAAGAAATATAAAATCAACTGGAAAACAAGGTTTAAAATGGTAATAAATATATATCAATAATTACCTTCAATGTCAATGGACTAATTGCTCCAAACAAAAGACAGAGTGGTAGACTGGATTTTTTTTTTTTTAAAAAAGAGCCTACGATATGCTGCCTTCAAGAGCCCCACTTTAGGACAGACAACACACAGATTCAAAATGAGGGGATGGAAAAAGATTTAATGCAAACAGAAATGACAAGTGGGGGTTGCAATAACCAAATAAGACAAAATAAACTTGAAAACAAAGGCCAAAAAGAGATATATAATAATAAAAGAATCAATATAAGAAGAGGTTTTTACACTCATCAACATATATGCACCTAATATTATCATTGTTGTTCATTTGCTAAGTTGTGTCCAACTCTTTGTGACCCCCACGGACTGCAGCCCACCATGCTCCTCTGTCCATGAGGTTTCCAAGGCAAGAATACTGGAGTGGGTTGCCATTTCCTTCTCCAAGGGCTCTTCCTGACCTAAGGATTAAACCCACATCTCCTGCATTGGCAGGTGGATTCTTTACCACTGAGCCACCAAGGAAGCCCTGCACATAATATAGGAGCACCCAAATATATAAAACAACTACTAACAGACACAAAAGGAGAAATTGATGAGAATACAATAATAGTAGGAGATTTAACATCCCACTCACATCAATGGACATATCTTCTGGACAGAAAATCAATAAGGTAACAGATCCTAAATGATAAAAGAACAGTTAAGAATGTACAGCCAACATTCTCTAGGGATGATCACACACTGGGGCACAAAACAAGTCTCAATGAATTTAACAGTATAAAAATTATCTCAAGCATCTTTTCTGACCATAATGGCATGAAGCTAGAAATCAATCACAGAGAAAGAAATGAGAAAAAAAAATGATCACATGGAGACAAAACATGTTATCTTAAAAATCAATGGGTGAATGATGAAATCAAAGAGGAAATTTTAAAATACCTTGAGACAAATGACAATGAAAACACAACAAAATTTATGGGATGCAGCAAAAGCAGTTCTTAGAGAGAAGTTCATAGTGATAAAAACCTTCCTCAAGAAACAAGAAACATCTAAAACAACTTAACCTACTACCTAAAAGAATTAGAAAAAGAAGAACAAACAAAACCTAAAATCAGTAGAAGGAAGGAAATAATAAAAATCACAGTGGAAGTAAATAAAATAGAGATGGCGGTTCCTTAAAAAAACTAAAAATAGAGCTACCATATAATCCAGCAATTCCACTCCTGGGTATGTATTCTGAAAAAGATGAAAACTCTAATTCAAAAAGATACATGTACCCCAATGTCCATAACATCACTATTTACAATAGACAAGACATGGATACAAACCAAGTGCCCATCAACAGATAATTGGCTTAAGAAGATGAAATGCTATATACATATATAATGGAATATTAGCCATAAAAAGAATGAAATATTGCCATTTGCAGCAACATGGGTAGACCTACTAGAGAATATTATACTTAGTGAAGTCAGACAGAGAAAGGCAAATACTATAACTTAAATGTAGAACCTAAAAATAATACAAATGAATCTATACACAAAATAGAAAGACTCACAGACATAGAAGACAAACTTAGGGTTACCAATGGGAAAAGGGAGCAGAGGAAGGGACAAATCAGGAATACAAGATTAACAGATCTGAACTATAATACATAGAAACAGACAAGCAACAGGATTTACTGCATAGTAAGTACAGGGAGCTGTATTCAATATCTTTGTAACAATGGAAATATATATATAAATAAATATAATGGAAAATAATCTAAAAATATATATATTCAGTTATTTATACAAATGTGAGCTTCCCAAGTGATCACAGAATCTGCCTGCAATGCAGGAAACCCAGATTCAATCCCTGGGTCTAGAAGACTCCCTTGGAGAAGAAAATGGCAACCCACTCTAGTATTCTTGCCTGGAGAATTCCATGGACAGAGGAGCCTGGCAGGCTACAGTCCATGGGGTCGCAAAGAGTCAAACAGGACTGAGTGACTAAGCATGCATATATATACATAAATATATTTCAGTTATATATAACTGAATGACGTTACTATATACCTGAAATTAATGTAATATTGTAAATCAACTATACTTCAACTTAAAAATAAATTAAAAATCTAATGAAATACAATACATACAGATTTTCCTCTATTTTTGCCATATTACATTCTTAGAAACATCATTCCTGACAGACACATCAAATCACTCACACTGATGAATTTGGTTATATTGTGCAATAATTCTCTTTGCTACTAGATGGTGGTTTAGTTTCTGGTATGTTAAGAAGCTGGCAGAAATAAGGTTGGCTGTTAACTACCAAGAATTATTAAGTAAGAAAGTAAAGAAAGAAGGGAAATATAGATGTGGTTAACATATCCACCTGTGAACTGGCAAAGGAAAAACATCAAATTAAAAGGAGGGAGCAAACCATATACCTATTAAGATCCTACTGTAAGAATTACAGGGACATCCCTGGTGGTCCAGTGGTTAAGAATCTGCCTTGAAGTGCAGGGAATGCAGTTTCAATCCCTGGTTAGGGAAGAATTCCCACATGCCTTGGAGCAACTAAGCCCACAGCACAACTACTGAGTCCAACACAGCCAAAGAAATAAATAATTTAAAAAAAAGAATTACAGGAAGAGTTCAGAACAAGGGAAATAAGTTAAAAATTTGAGACATTTTTAAATACCTTATTAATTGTCACAGTCTTGAAGAAATAACTGGTGTCATATATTATTAATAGACACCCCTTATCTTGATGTCCAGAGTCTGGATGGAGTATTACGGTTTTTCTTCTCTACCCCTAGTTTAACATACCATTTTACCCAGAAGCTATTATGGTTATTCAGGCTATTTTTATTTCAGTCCTTGTGGGTGCCAAAGGCTAAACGGGTCTAAGAAACATATATTTTCAGATATTAAACACCCAATTTTCTTGCTACTTTCTAAGGTTATTTTATACTTTCCTTCTATTGAAGCATGTATCTAAGACTCAGGCTATAAAGTTTATATTCAATTTACCCAGAAATCAATCAAGTCGAAGCTCAAATGCCTTTAGCCTTATTTGACAATAATAATAACAGCAACAAAACAAATCTTTTAGTGTAGAATACAATTCACATACCAAGCCATTTACAGAATCTACTTTAAAGTTGTAAGAAGTTAGGCTATTTGGACGTATTAAAGTCTAATAAAAAAGAAATGAAATGCCTTCTAACTTAGAAAATCGTAATTTTTCACTTTCAAAAATATTTACTTGAGTTATTTAGAAGAATTCTTTCTTTCTTACCTATAAGGTTGTACTTTAATCCCGTGGTCTTGAAATTCCAGTGCTTTCTTAACAATAGCTTCATTTTCCTCTGGATAAACTGAACATGTACAGTAAACAATAGCTTGAGCTCTAGTAACTGTATTTAAAGAAGATGGAAATAATATAATGGCTCCATTAACAATCGTGAACAAATCTCTTGTGTTTTCAGTGGTGGTGTGGTTTAGTCACTAAGTAGTGTCCAACTGTTGTGACCTCATTGCAACCTTCCAGGCTCCTTTGTCCATGGAATTCTCTGGGCAAGAATACTGGAGTGGGTTGCCATTTCCTCTCCAGGGGATTTTCCTGACCCAGGGATCGAACCTGGGTCTCCTGCATTGCAGGCAAATTCTTTACCAACTGAGGTATGAGGGAAGCCCAGATATCCGTACTAATACCACACGGTTTTGATGGGTATGATGTCTACAGATGCTTGCATGGCTCCCCTTTAAAGCATGTATTAGTAATATAGTCTTGCCAATAAATGAAGTAAATATAACTGGATCAAATAGAAATTGAAAATCCAATCCATATGACCAACCTTACTACAAACACAAGCAAATAAATACTGCAGATTACCATAGCTTGACACTTCCAGCCATTCTTCCAAAAGCCATATCACATAACTAGTTAAAAGGACTCTAGAGACAGACTTAGGTGTGAATCCCAATTCTGTTATTTACTGATTTATGAACCTGGGAAAGTTACTTACCTCTCCAATTCTTCTACTCTTAAGTGAGGTAATATTACTACCAGCAACTCACTCACTTATTCACATTTACCAAGCATGTACTACATGCTAAGCACTGTTCTTACTATTCAATACATACACACAAAAACCCTGGCCCCAGGGAGCTTATTTTCTATGTTTCATTGACATAAGACATAAACAGGGCTTCCCTGGTGACTCAGTGTAAAGAATCCACCTGCCGATGCAGGAGACACGGGTTCCATCCCTGGTCCAGGAAGATCTCACATGCCGTGGAGCAACTAAGCCCGTGAGTCTAACCTGAGCTCTAATGCCCATTTGCTGCAGCTACTGAACCCACAAGCTGCAACTACTGAAGCCCATGTGCCTAGGCCCCTACTTCACAAGAAGAGAACCCACTGCAATGAGAGGCCGGTGCACCACTGCTCTCTGCAACTGGAGAAAAGCCCGCACAGCAATGGAGACCCAGCACAGTCAAAAATAATACATAATTTCGAAAAGACATAAATAAATAAGAAATTTTGTAATTCCTGGGTGGTCCAGTGCTTAGGACATAGCGCTCTCACTGCCAGGGGCCCAGGTTCTTAGTTCCCATTAGGGAACTAAGATGCTGCAAGCTGCGCAGTGAGGACCCCCCCCAACAAAACTAAAGCATTAGGAGGTGACAAATGCTATAGAGAAAATCAAAGCAGATATGGAGGATGGTTAGTTTCAAGAGATCAGCTTGCAATTTTAAAGAGTGATCACAGAAAGAATTTTTTAAATGTATTATTTATCAGCTCCCTAATCTTCCAACCAACTCATTTCATTGATCATATACATACTATCATATTCAAAATAGTATTTATTAATAGCATCAGTTAAAAGGACAGAACTCCTCCGTGTTTTTCTACTTTGCCTTATTTCTACCTCATATATGCTATATCTTTATATATTAAATCATCTATACCCTATACTAACCTTTGAGCCTTTGGAGGTCAGGATTTATCCAAACTCATATTCTTAACAACCGACTTAATACCTGACCCAGAGAAGACATTTGATAAACATGCAATAAGTTAATAAAAGTTGACGTAATTTCTCAGACTTCTAGATTTCCACATCTAAGTGTGAAAGGGCATTGGTACTCAAAATCTAAATGTAGGAATTGAAGCAATAATATAAACACTTACATGGCCTTGTTACTCAGACTTTAAGAGATCTAGGCTTTATCTTTAATTCATTTATTTTCTTTTTAGTATTAAGAAAAGCAAGAGTGTGATTAAAGTTGGGATCATAGAAGAGTTGTTAGGGCAGATACAAAACAGAAAAGTTACATCAAAAAGCCAAACAAGTGAAACAGAAGATGAAATTATACAACAATTGATGTACATAATTATTTCATTTCAGCATTAAGAAGCTGTTAATTCTTCTTGCTAACCTATGTTTAAAATGATAGTAAAGCATATATTTTTGAGACTTAGATTGGTAAAAATAAATATTTTGTTATTTTAAGGAACTATGACTAAGGCTTCTGGAAAATCCACTTATGGCTCACACATCATTGCCTGAATATGATAAATTAAGTATTAACATTTCTAAGATTTACAACATGTTTTCAGTTTGTGCTGATAGCAAACTTACATTTCATGGCATGTGTTAGCTGTTCATATTGCTGTTGAGCAAGAACATGAAGTTTATCTTCTGATGGGCCTCCTTGAGAGAAATCTTTAAGTAAATCTGTATCTAAAAACAAATAAATGCTTTTAAATATATCACTATTAGATTTTTCATATATTGCTGTGATCACATTATTTAATATTTTAATCATTTTCCCTATTAATGAATTCTCATAGAAAATATTTATTAGACATACAGTACTATAAAAATGCTGACTTAAAATTTTAAAATCTGAATTGATAATTTTGCTTAGTTTTAATATTACTTTTCTTTTATTCTCCAAATTCTTATCATAGTTATCTAACCAGCCAAAATAAGTTATTCAGGCACAAAAGATAGAAGGCAGTCAGCCTGAGTACAAATAAAGGGAAAAAAGATTTATTTTCCAAGGCAGAAGCTGATGGGCTACATTCAGATCTGAGTAAGAAAGAATACAACAGAATACAGTTAAAAACATTAGCTTACTAAAAGAAATCTTGGAAGAAAAAACTTCAGGGAAGCAACTATATGTCTTCATAATAGATTAAAAAAACAAAGGATCAAGAAATTCTTACAGTAATCTTTTAAATTTCTAAAACTATTTTTAACATATTTCTTGATAATATTAACTAAGATATATTGACTACTACTCTATATAGATTATTTTATTCAACAACCCCTTGAAGCATTATTATCCCTTTTAACACTGAGAAAATTGTTCAAGCATACATTAAATAACTGGTCTAAGGTCATACAGCTATTAGATCAAAGCCAGGTTCTAGCCTGGCAATCAGACCAAACCTCCAAACCCTGTTTTATTCTGCCTCTCGGTAACTCCCTGGAATATGTGCTAAGTCACTTCAGTCATGCCCTACTCTTTGCTACCGCCAGGCTCCTCTGTCCATGGGATTCTCCAGGCAAGAAAACTGGAGTGGGTTGCCATGTCCTCCTCCAGGGGATCATCCCGACCCAGGGATTGAACCTGTGTCTCTTATGTCTCCTGCACTGGCGGGCAAGTTCTTTACCACGGAGCCACCGGGGAAGCCCCCTGGGAATATGAGAGGCAATTATTTATACCATATATTGGGCTGGTCGCCATTCCAGTAATACTACTAAAGGTTAATTAAACTTCATTTCTTTCCAATTTAGCTTTACCCTTCACATTTTTCTAAGTCTTTAATCACTTTTTAAAGGACTATTTATACATTATTATACTCTAAAACCTATATATATCATAAAAAATAAATTTATGGTAAAATATTTTTACCATAATCACTAGGTCAGCAGCTCCTTATTTGCTCTGGCTATTACCTCCCCAAAGAAGTTTCCTTCAAAACCCTCCTTTTTTCCAAGCTTGCCAAAGACCACTTCTTGGCTTAGCTGGTCACCTCGTCAAGGATTTCAAAATATTACCATATCTAGGAAACTTTACTTTCCCTTTTTGTCATTTGTGGTTCCCTTTGGCCTTTTCTCTGCTAGACTCTAGATTATTTTTGCCAATGGTTTATTTTGTTCTGCATTCCCACTTCAGGATGGCTCAGGATAAGGCCAGTCTCACAGGAGTGCTAAGCTTGAGTTCTCTTGACTGCAGCGCTTATTGTAGCTGCTGCTATTACTTCCTCTCTTCTTTCAAAATTTAATTCTTCTCTGATCATTTTCCAAAGTGAGTGTAGGAGTTTTCTCAGTCTACCACACTCCCCTCTGAGCTGGTTATTCTTCTGTTTAACTCTCATGGAAAGAAATTTTCTGTAGCAAGACAGAATTCCACATGGTTCCGTATAAGCCCAGTTAAAAATTGTGTGGTATAGTGGAATTCTTTCTATAGTGTACTATAGTGGAATATGCTAACTAAGCTGAATTTGAATTTCAGCTTTGAATCTAGCTACATGACCTCAGGCAACTTGCTAACTTTGAATCTTTGTTTTTTGGCCCCTTTTATAAAACAGAGATAATTAAATAACACTATCTTCACAAAGTTATTGTGAATATTAAGTTATAATGCAGGAACACTTCCTGGAATATTGATTGGGGCATAGCTATACTCCATAAATATTACTTTCCCTCAATTTCTTTTCCTTCATCTTAAATTCTTTCCTTGCTAGAAATAACAAACAGTTACTCAACATATTCTGAATGTTAGTGGAATGTCTTCTCTGTTAACCTTATATATGCCTTTCACTATAAACAAGGGAATAAAGTAAGGATCAATTTCAGTTAACATACTGTGATTAACAGCATTATTCAAAGGGCCAGAGTCAGAGCAGTAGTGTTTGAATCCAGGCTCTGACACTTACAAGTCAAAACACCAAGAGGCTTCAACCTCTCTGAGGCTTGTAGTCCATATTTGTAAAAGAGAAATAGTAAGAGTTAACCACTTCACTGAGTTCTTGTGAGTTCTTGATGAAATAATCCAAGCAAAGTGTTCAGTTCAGTGCCTTATATGTAACTGCTCAATAAATGTTAATGCTAAACATATTTAATTTATTAAAAAAGCAAATAAAATAGTCTCAGAATTAATATTTGAGATATATCTAAAACATACATACTGCAGATTAAAGAAGTCTTGATGTTGAAAGTCTATTTACAATTTGATTAGAATCATCTTAGGGCACAGCCTCTAGAGTTAGGTAGATCTAAATCTTAATCTTGACTCTGTTACCAACGAGTTATGTAACCTTATAAAAAAGAATCAATGTCTCTCAGTCTTAGTTTTATTTATAAAATTCTCATAAATTTTAATGCCTGTATCTTGAGCTCTGGTATATAGCAAAATAGTATACTGGCCAGCATCTGTTCTGATTGCCTACATCTCTCTAATTACTAAATATTTTGAATATCCCCCTTGTCCATATTTCACAGAACTGGTGTAAAGATTAAACAATATAATGGTTGTTAAATACTTTCTACATATAAGCTATATATGGTAGCTATTCATTGATCAGATGTATCTATCATTTTAATGATTTTAAATAATTTCATTTTTAAATAATGATTTTAAGTAACTTCATTTAAAAAATATTAACAAATTTAAATAATTTAGAAATTAAAAATTAAAGCAAGTACCTTCATGCTCATTTAAAATAAATTCTACTGGATTACTAACACCCAGTCCTGAACAACGAGGTAACAGCAGAATCACTTTAACTTTCTGTAATCGATGATCCTTTAAGTCAAGATTCATAAATGTCTCATGAAGTATCTCAATATCTGGGAGAAAAAACACAGAAAATGTATGCAAAATATTCATTAAAAAATCTTAATGCAGTATGTAGTTGTATCTATTTATCACTATTCATTTTTAAATCCTCAACCACACAAAATGCCATCTTAATGCAGCCAGAAAAGAGGATTATTTTCTGATAAGTCCTGAAGTTAACACATGAATTCTTTTAATAGAGTCCTTCCTCCTTCACTTGAATGGTTTTGAAGGTTAAATATCTTCTACATAAAATATAATTTAAATTTTTCCATCCTGAACTTCAGATTCCATTTAAAGCAGTATGGTGTAGTGGAGTTCCCTGGTGGCTCAGTGGTAAAGAATCCGCCTGCACTGAAGGAATCACAACCCATCCCTGTGTTAGGGAGACCCCCTGGAGGAGGGCCTGACAACCCATTCCCATATTCTTGCCTGGAGAATCCCATGGACAGAGGAGATTGGTGGGCTAAGAGTCCAGAGAGACGCAGAGTCAGACACAGTGAAGCGACTTAGCAGGCATGCCCAGTGTAGTGGAGGGAACAGGGTTTTAGAGGCAGAAATACCCAAGTTTGACTCCCAAATTCACTATTTACTGTATCTGTGACAAGCCCCTATTTCCTTATTTGTAAAATGGGATATTATTGTCCACACCTGGTTTAATTGTAGTGAAGGTTATAAGGTAGTTAGGCTTAGCATTGTGCCTACTATGCAACAAATGCTCGGTACTGGTTACTTCCCTTTCCCATTTTTTTAATCCCCTTTTATATTCTATTTTCCCTGGAAAACATTCTATTAGCATTTACATGTTTATTAGCATTTTATAATTTTTACTTAGGCGCAGTCTGAAGGTCCTCGGGGACCTGTAATTCAGGACCGTCTGCCTTCCCGCAGGCTGTAATCGTCTGTGACCCTGTATGGGGGCAGCCCCTCCAGTCCTACAACGGCTCTCGTTCTCCCCATCTGCTGAGGAGTCACTCCTGAAACTGCAAAACCCTACCCCTTTCTCTTGTCTGATCAATCTTCTATTGTGTCTCTTTGGAAAAAAAAAAAAAATTTAATCAAGTGCACCTTTCTCCTTTTTCCCATTTTTAACTCTTCATTGCAAAAGTTCAAACATTATGTCAAAAAAACCCATAATATATAGTGAATTCTCAAATGTTCATTATATTGCTTCAACAGTGAAACATTCATGCCCAATCATGTTTCATCTATATCTGCACACACTTCCAACCCCCCATATTATTTTGGAACTATGAAATATTTCACCATTTATCTAAAAGATAAGAACTCCTTTAAAAATATAACCCCATACATTTTGAAAAGTAATTCCTTATTGTCATCAAATTATAATAGTATCCAATCATGGCTCAAATTTTCCAAGTCTCACACATCAAAATTTTTTTAGTTTGTTTAAATCAGGAGTTACATAGGTACATACACTGCAATGAGTCAGTGTCTTACTTTAAATTTTCTTGTAGACCGGTACCCTTTCCATCTTTTTCTTAGCATTTATTTCTTAATGTAACATGGTCACTTGTACTACTAGTTTCCCAGAGCCTGGATTTTGTTCATTGGTTTCCTAGAGAGTAGTTTAACATGTTCTTGTCTTCTGTACTTCCTGTAAATTAGTAGTTGGATCTTTAGAGCTTAATTTAGGCTCGAGTTCTCTTTTTTTTCTTGGGAGGTGGAGGGCACAAAGCTAATTCACAAGTGGTGTCATATTCATTCATTAAATTGCCTTTATGGTATGAGTAAAGGTGCTGCAAAATAGTCACATTCTAATTCCGTCTTCTTTTTATCATTTGTCAGTCGGAATGCTTCTAAAATGAGACACTTCTGTTCCTCTACTTCTTGGTTACCCAGTGGTTCCTATTCTGTCTACTTAACTAGGTAAAAATGCCTAGGGGTAATAAAACTGGAAGTGAAATGCTGGATCATAAGGCATGTATATTTTCAATTTTAGTGATCAATGCTAGTTTTCCAAAGTCACTGTACAAATTTATAATCAACCTAGCAGTGCTTGAGCATTCCGAGTGTTCCGTACCTTGCCAGCACATGGTATGGCCATCGTTGAAGAATGAAGGTTCTCATTTAGATGAAGCTCAATTTACCTTTTCTTTTGTTGTGCTTTTGGTGTTTAAACAACCACTGCCAAATTGAAGGTATGAAAGTTTACCTGGTGTTTTCTTCTAAAAGTTTTATAGTTTTACCTCTTATAAATAGGTTTTTTACCCAGTTTATGTGTATGATATGAAGTAGGAGTCCAACTTTATTCTTTCGCATGTGGATATCCAGTTATCCCAGCACCATTTGTTGAAAAGACTATTCTTTCCTTGTTGAATGGTTTTGGTACATTTGTTGAAAATCAGTTGACCATAAATATAATTAGGGGTTTACATTTGAATTCTCAATTCTATTCCATTGATCTATGTTTATCTTTTATGCCAGTACCACATTGTCTTGATTACTAAAGCTGTGTAGTGAGCTTTGAAATCAAGGAGTATGAGTCCTACAACTTTGTTTCTTTTCAAAGCTATTCCACGTCCCTTCGATTTCCATGTGAATTTTAAGACAGAATGTCAATTTCTGAAAAATACCACCTAGGGTTTTTTAATAGGGATTACATTAACTTTGCATTTTTTTCATGGATTCCTTAGAATTTTCTATATACAGAGCATTTTATCTGCTGATTCTAGATAATGTGGCTTTATATATTTTGAGACTGTATTAGTCTTCTTTAGTACTGTATATTTACCTGATGAATTAAACATGTTCTAACTGTATTTCTAGTAATTTTTCTTGACTTAGCACTGCTTTCCGGTATCTCTTTTCATTAGAATGTTTACTGGATATTTTTTCTGTCCAATTTTTAATATCCTTTTATGTTAGGGGTATCTCTTACAAACAGAATTTTACAGTTGATCTTTAAAAATCCAGTATTGATGCTGTCTTGTAATTTAAGTATTAGTCATGCATAGTTAATATGTTTACTAACTGATTTATATATTCATATTTTAAGTTTAATTTACATACTTGTTTTCTATGTATTTTGCCTTGTATATGTTAATATGGTGTTTCCAATTCCATATTCCACATCTCCCCCTTAGCTATTATTTTTACATTCTTTATTGATTGATTGCCTCCGATATTATAACACATTCATTGTTGTTTTAGTCACTAAATTGTGTCTCTTTTGCAACCCAATGATATGATACCTTTATCATATCTTAGACAAAGCAAGGATGAGAGAACACATTAATTCATTTCCTTCTCTAAATTATATACCATTGTTTTAATTACACATGACCCATATTTTTACCTCCACAAGACATTAGTTTACAATCCCACAAGATATTAGACTACAACTATTTAGATTTACCTATGTACTAACCTTTTCCATTGCTCCTTTCTTCTAGCACCTATAACTTTCTGTATGAGATAATATTCCTTCTACTCAAAAAATAATCTTTAGTATTTCAATTATTGTATCCGCTGGTGACAAACTCAGGTTTTCTTTTCTGAGAATGTATTTTATGTCAAAGGAAATTTCTGCTAAGTATATAAACCTAAGCTGGCAGTTTCTTTCTGCCCTGAAGATACCATCTCTGGCCTCAGCTGTTTCTGTTGAAGTAGCTAACTCTATTTTTATTCCTATTTCTTTAAAGGTAACATGTGTTCTCTCTCTCACTGCTTTGAACATTGTTCTCTATCTTCTGTTTTCAGCAGTTATGCTATGATGTGCCTAGCATGTTTTTCACACATTCATTTTTGTCCACCCCCGGCCACCTGAATTTCACATATTGATTCTTCTCAACTCCTTTTCTCCTCTCTTTCTGGGTTCCTAATCACAGCATACATGAGATCACTGGATCACTGAGTCTCATGTGTATTTTATGATCTCTTCCATATTATTCATCCTTTTCCCTCCTGATGTTTCAGACTGAATAATTTCTTCTGACTCATCAGTTCACTGATTCCTCCTTTTAGTACTAATTTACTGTTAAAATCTATCTATTTCTTAATTTCACATATTGTATTTTCAGTTCTAGATTTTTCTTCTGGCTTTTTAAAAGCTCTAAAAGTTTTTAAAAGTTTCTAGTTCTTTGCTGGAATTCTACAACTTGCCATTTAGTCTTTTCAGCATATTAATCACAAATCCACATCTGGTATCTCCAGCACCTGGACCTTCTGTGGGCTTTCTTCTATTGCAGTATTTTTCTTTTTATTTCACCCACATCTTTCTTCTATCTTGTTTTTTTGTTTTTTGGTTTTTTTTTTTTTTGAGTGCCAGACACTGTATTTGAAAAAATTCAGGAGATAATATGAGATTCAGGATATTGTTACTTTCTTCCAAAGAGAATTTACTTTTGCCTCTGGTACGCAGCGAAGCCTGGGCACTAGCAAACTTACATCACCTTAATTCAACTGGGAACTGAGATGACTGGAATTTGGGCTTTAGTTCATCAAAGGACTGATCACCACTCAGAGTGTACTTCTGTGCTCCAATGAAATCCCGGGAATTTACAGTCTACCTCTCCATGTTAAGCCCTGAATTCTACTTATTGTCTCTCTGACCCTGTGAATCTGTCAAAAGATTAGGTTTCCAGCTCCACTGAACCTATAATAAAATGTTATCTTTTGTCACAGCTTGATCCAATGGAAACATTTTTTAAAAATAAGAAGCCTAAGGACTTAGAATCTGGTCCTAGATAATAGCTTTATCCCTTAAGTGCTCCTGTGATTGTGTTCTTATGTTTTAAGAGATGACAATTTCTACCATTTACTTTAATTATTGTTTGAACCTCAAATTATGTAGTAGCTGAACATTAAGCAATATACCAAAGTGCCAATATATTCATTAATTTAAACTGCAGTTGTTTAACTAATATTAAGCAACAGTAGTCTGATGTGGGGATATAGTCTGACATAGTAGGGATTTTAGGAGTATATTTCATATACAGAGTTTTGCATTACAAAAAAATAACAAATTCAAATGTTTTTAACATTTCTAAGTCTTACAGAACATAACACCAAGAAAATAAGTATTTGTACATACTTTTACATCCCATTTTTGTGAAAAGATTCTTCAGGTCAGGATCCTTAGCTTGTGATTGTACTCCACACACAAATATTTTTGAAGTATTATTATTTGTTAAGATTGACATATGGGCAACTGTGTACCAAGAACCTGTATTGACCATTAAGATATCATCATCCATATTTAATAAAGCCTTTACAGAATGGACAGCGAGACTTCGAGATTTGTCCTACAAGATAAGAGTGTGATTAGAATTTCAAAGGGTTTAGGTAAAACAAGGCATTGGCAGAAATCTTGAGGTTCTCTAGCCCATTTTGAGTTTAAAACACCTTAACTATATGTTAAAATATAAAGTTAGCAGTTTATATTTATAAACTTTATAAATTTATATTTATATGTTTATATTTATAAAATTAACAAACAAAATTGGTTTAGCTTAAATTATGACTGTTATCATTTAATTGTTATATAGTGATGGAACAACAGACTGATTCCAAATTGGGAAAGGAGCACACCAAGGCTCTATATTGTCACCCTGCTTATTTAACTTATATGCAGAGTACATCATGTGAAATGCTGGGCTGGATGAAGCACAAGCTGGAATCAAGATTGCCAGGCGAAATATCAATAACCTCAGATATGCACATGACACCACCCTTATGGCAGAAAGTGAAGAACTAAAGAGCCTCTTGATGAAAGTGAAAGAGGAGAATGAAAAAGTTGGCTTAAAACACAACATTCAGAAAACTAAGATTATGGCATCTGGTCCCATCACTTCAAGGCAAATAGATGGGAAATCAATGGAAACAGTGACAGATTTTATTTCTGGGGGCTCCAAAATCACTGTAGATGGTGACTGCAGCCATGAAATTAGAAGACGCTTGCTCCCTGGAAGATAAGCTATGACCAACCTAGATAGCATATTAAAAAGCAGAGACAGTACTTTACCAACAAAGGTCTGTCCAGTCAAAGCTATGGTTTTTCCAGTAGTCATGTATGAATGTGAGAGTTGGACTACAAAGAAAGCTGAGCACTGAAGAATTGATGCTTTTGAACTGTGGTGTTGGAGAAGACTCTTGAAAGTCCCTTCAACTGCAAGCAGATCCAACCAGTCTGTCCTAAAGGAAATCAGTCCTGAATATTCATTGGAAGGACTGAAGCTGAAACTCCAATACTTTGGCCACCTAATGTGAAGAACTGACTCACTGGAAAAAACCCTGATGCTGGGAGAGATTGAAGGCAGGAGGAGAAGGTAATGACAGAGGATGAGATGGTTGGACGGCATCACCAATGCGATAGACATGAGTTTGAGTAGGCGCCAGGAGCTGGTGCTGGACAGGGAACCCTGGCGTGCTGCACTCCATGAGGTCACAAAGAGTCAGAACAACTGAGCAACTGAACTGAACTGAACTGACAGTGATAAGGCAATGCCAAACTCCCCAGATGTGATTAACAGATTACTGATGCCTGCCTTAGCTCCCATTCTTAAACCTTCATGAAAATGTACTCATCTGCCTCGGCCATTCTTTCTTCCCCATCACACTGTCATCTAACTGGCTGCTAGCTCACAGAGACTAAAGGTAAGATGGTTGACAAGTTTAAAAAGCGGGCTAAGCAGATGAGTTTATGCAACTGATCTCAGTGTTCAATAAGGTGTCAACCACCAGATAAGGCCATGAAACACTGCCCAAGAATGCAGGTACTGTGAAGGGATAAACCTTACAAGATCAAAGTGAGTCTGAGGCAAGAATTGGAATCTAAGGACATAAAAATTAATTTAACTCAATTTCTTGAACCTTTTATTTTTCATTCTACTGAAATACCATTATAACTCACATTCTCTTCCTGTATTGATAGCCATTATATGTATCTTACAAATCAAAGCTGTAAGACTAGTAAAGAGATAATGGGAACGTATTACACATTGCATTTTCAAATGCAGGCTGGCACCAGCATCTTCCCCAGAAATGAAGAGAGAAAAGGGAATCACCATGCCGTCTCTTGAATCCTCCCTTGGGAGAGAAAAATATAGCTTTTCAGCTATGTGCAATACAAGTTACCCCACCTGTGGTGTCTTGGAAGGAGAATATGTTCCTTACAATATGCCCACTTCACATGGGGCAAAGATGCCAAAGTACGACGGGAACACTGATGTAGCAGTATTAATTTTATACTTCTATGTGGAAATTAGGCCTTATAAACCTCCTTGATAACCTATCCAAAATATAATCAATTTCTTAGGCTTTATTTTTAAGTAGAGGAATTCTTTGAGTGAGCAGGATTATTGAGAGAATCACAATATTGAGAACCACAGTGAAAGTAAAAATTTGTTTACCTGAAATATAAGTTTATAATCTTTAAAAAGATCTATATTTAGAAGATCACTTTTAAGATGAGATGGAAAAATTAAGACATCAGAACAATGCTGATCCACAGCAAAGACTTTACTATCAATATGCAATACAGATTTGACTTTATTATAGCCATTTTTCTTCAAAGTATAATAAACTTCTTCAGGGCTGTAAATACAGGGTTATAATTACAAATATAATACATAAAAATGTATTTAATATCAGCATCTTGTTCCTACAATAAATACAAGTATCATTGCATATACTGCATCTAATGGAACTTATAATTTAAGCCATCAGTAAGTTAAAAAAAATTAGAGACAAAAAAGTTAACACATTTATTAAATTACTTTTGGTAATCTGGTGATAAAATCCTGAATGAAACTATGATTCCCAGTCACTCCCTCAGATGAGCCCCTCATCCATTAAAAATACTTTTATCATATTATTTTGAAAGGCAAGTGACTTGAGTAAAGAAATTGATTAGAACTCTTACCTGATTTTACAAGTATTTATCCAAGCATAAAGTGGCAAAGTGGAGGCCCTTAATTCTTGGTTCCTAACTGTTTCTGGAAGAATGTGGTAAATTGAAAGGGCATCATGTTTGATTCGACATCTTGCCAATGCTGCAGCCAATTTTGTCTTAAAACTAGAGATAGAAAATCCATCCTTGGTAACTACTGCATTGAAGACAAGACTATCAATTTTCCACTTGAAAAATTAACAATTAGATTTAGAATTATAATACTCTATAATTCTATTTCAAATTTTTGAAGTCTAAAGTTAAAATTTGCCATATTTTAAAATGGGAATCCCCCCCAAATTTTTAAAAATGGAAACCCAATAATTCTGCTTCTTTTTTTTTCAGGTTTTTCTGTCTCTGTATAGTTGTATATCTTAATTGTTTATAACAACTGCTGGTTGAAAAACAAATTTTATGTAGTAAAGGTGAAGGGCTTGGAGTCAGACAAATTTGAAGTTAAATTCAGGCTCTGTCACTTACTAGCTGTGTGACCTCAGATATGATGCGCTCACCAGCCTCAGTTTTCTCATCTGTAGAATGTGACCAGCTTACCTTGCTATTACTGTGGGTATTAATATCATGGGGCTTCCCTGGTGGCTTAGCTGGTAAAGAATCCACCTGCAATGTGGGAGACCTGGCTTCAAACCCTGGATTGGGACGATCCCCTGGAGAAGGGAAAGGCTACCCACTCCAGTGTTCTGGCCTGGAAAATCCCATGGACTGTATAGTCCATGAGGTCGCAAAGAGTTGGACACGACTTGAGTGACTTTCACTTGGTACCATCGAGTCACCAAGCACCGTGCCTGGCGGGCACTGTCCATAGGTCAGTCTGTGTTATCAGAGATGGCGAGAGTGCAGTCTTGACAAGATTAAGGAGCTTTCATGAACTGGTATCAGGTCCTTCCCAGTTCTGATTATCTCATATCTCGTAGTTACAAATAACAGGAAAGAAAAACAAGAACTGGTTAGCATAAAACGAAAACCCAATGATTCTTTTTTAATCTATGGCCTCAATCACTGGGAGACTCTGTCTCCTTGACTACAGCGGACTGGCAGAGGGTGGGCACTTGACCCAAACCAGTCAAGTGAATTTTTGTGTGTAGTAACAGAGCTCCAGGTCAGTCTTTCTGGTTTGTGGTAATGAGTTGACAGCAGCCGAGCTTCCCACTCTACAAAGAGAAAGAGGAGATGTAAGCATGAAGCTGAAGCGCACCATGAGGCAGAGACCAGAGTGGGAGAGAGTCCCGAGGGCGCCCGAGTCACAGGGTGCAGGCAGGAGAGGCAGCCGCGTCCTTCCTGCAAGCCTCACTGTGCAACTCTTGGGGGAGATACTTTATAATAAAATCTCTCTTTTGCCTAACCTAGTTTGAGTTGGACTCCTGTCTGGTTGTCAAAAAGAAATCCTACCTAGTACACCATTTTCTCTTAGTTTATTTTTTAAAAGAAATGGGCTTTATTCCTTTTTAGCTTAAAATTATCAGAAATTTTATATACAAAGAACAAATGATCTCAAGGGGTTTTTTGTTTTGTTTTGTTTTGTTGTTTGCTGTTGTTGGCGGTGGGTTTTGTCTTTGTTTTTTGCTGTGCCACGTGGCTTGTGGGGTTTTAGTTCCCCAACCAGGAACTGAACTCAGGCCTTCCACAGTAAAAGCACTGAGTCCTAACCACTAGACCACCAGGGAATTCTCAAAATATCTCAAGTTTTGAAGTGCCATTAGTAATGCCTAACACAAAAGAAATGTGGCTCTATTTAAATATAAATTATTTTCTTAATGCCAAAAGATAATCTTCAGTGAACTGCTTGAATTTCCCAAGGGAAAAAAAAAAATCAGACATCATACTGAGAACTGTTTCACAATATTCACTAAGTAAGTAAAATGGGCTAAGAGTTTCCAAAGAAGAGGTGGAAAGAATATGAGAGATAAAACCCCATGAACAAGTGTTCAGAAGCATTCTGGCATATGAGAAACTCTAAAGCATTATGTGAATGAGAAAATTGGGAATAGAAGAAAAGGGATATCTAAGCAAATGTGATTTATCCCCCAAATCCATGAATGTTAAAAATGTTTTAACATTCATGAATCATTCAAGGTAAATAACCTTACCACATTAATAAAATCAAGAAGAAAAATGATCATACCAAAACTCTGATCTCTGTTTTGTTAATTTAGTAAGACTACAGCTTTCTCTAGAGATCCTCCTTCCTGCATTGCAGCTGGAAAGTACCCGTAAGCATAAAGCCAGGACTATTCTAGGGCTCACCTCATTTTTCTCATTTTCTCAAGGATTAAATTTCTGTGCTGCTATTTGTCTAATGTCCAAAATCTTTGCCTCACATATTTTGTCCATCTAGTTATTTATAGGGGCTTCCCAGGTGGCCGCTAGTGGTAAAGAACATGCCTGCCAATGCAGGAGATGTAAGAGATGCGGGTTCGACCCCTGGGTCTGGAAGATCCCCTGGAGGAGGAAATGGCAACCCACTCCAGTATTCTTGCCTGGAGAATGCCATGGACAGAGGAGCCTGACAGGCTACAGTCCATAGGGTCGCAAAGAGTTGGATACAACTGAAGCAACTTAGCATGCACAGTTATTTATAGGAGGAATGAATAAGTTTGATCCAAGACACTCTGTCATGACTATATAACTACGTTTTTAAAAGATCACTCTATCTATGGAAGATATTGTGAAGAAGGAAGAGTTACAGGCAGGGAATGAAGAAGCTAGCACAGTAGTCCAAGTGACATGATAAATGGCCTGGGTTTGGACAGTAGGCGTGGAAACGGAAACAAGTAGCCACATTCAGCATACGGCCTCCAACTGGAGTCACAGACCTCGATGTAACAGGTATGGCAGGGGCGCCGGGGAGGGCAGGAAAGAAGAATCAAGGGTAATATCTAAGAAGCTGGTGGTGCCTTGACTGTAACAGGACAGTTTTGGGTGATTTCGGAGGAAGGGCTACTCAGTTCTTCCTCTCCTGTTGTTTCTCCAGTCTTTCACTGCCCATTTTCTAATGTCCCTGTCCATTTTCTAGTTTTGCCTCACCAAAGTCCAACAAATTATCTGGCAGAATCAGATTCTTGAGCTAGTATGATGCATGCAGAGAAAGAAAGGAAGAAGCTGTGGTCTCCTTTTATTTAATCCGGTCACACTATTTCAAAGATAGTTGCATTTGTACAAGAAATGAATTCTTAGAGCCCTTGCATGTATCAAAAAGACAGGGCTTCCCTGGTAGCTCAGCAGGAAAGAACCGGCCTGCCAGTGCAGGAGACATGGGTTCACCCCTGATCTGGGAAGATCCCACATGCCACAGAGCAACTAAACCCACACGCCACAACTGCTGAGCCTGTGCCCGAGAGCTCAGGAGCTGCGATTACTGAGCCCATGGGCCACAGCAACGGAGGCCTGAGCGCCCCAGAGCCTGTGCTCCACAGGAGGAGCCACCACGATAAGCCATCAAAATGAGAAGCCCGCAGACTTCTAAAGAAGAGCCCGCACAGCAACAAAGACCCAGCACAGCCAAAAATAATAAAGAAATGAATGATAATAGGTTCATCTTGGGCTCTATCCCTAGAGCCATGAACAAATGAAGAAAAAGATACGGGTTCGTACACAGAGGGATAAAACACAAGGATCTCAGGTAGAGACAACAACAAAGATCAAACACAATTTTTATAAGGAGAAAGTGATTCTCATTCAGTTTCTTGTTAAATAACTGCTTCTTCTTCTATCACCTCTTAAAATTAGTCTTCATTGTCTTATAGAAACATACTAAGGTATACTTCAAGCTTAAAATGATTCTACTGCCCTGGGGACAATACTGCCCAGCCCTAAGGCCCAGATGATCTATAGAGGCTGGCCTCCAACATTCGGAGTTCAGAATTCTACTCCATTAGCTATAGAGGACTGGCCCAAGGGAATGCACTTGACCCACGAGGAGTCAAATTCCCTGGAAGGGGGTAGAATTTAGAATTGGGTGTAGAGATAATAAATTAATCTAAGTGAAGAAACTAACATACAAGTGTAACAAGTAAGCTTAAGACCTGGGGTACAGCAGTAAGGCTTTTTCCTTGTAGGCTAGAAACAGAGAAGGCAGATCAGGAGAGAAAAAGAGAATGAAGCAGATATTAAAAGAGAAGCAGAAAAAAAGAGACAAAGAAAATCCTGACATCTTTTCAGTTCCTGATTTCATCCTCTTCTTGAGTCTTTGAATTGCTTGAGATATTCCAGGATCTATTTAAGAACATTTTCCATTTTTGCTCACGCTAACTGAAAATAGCTTCTATTACTTGAAAGCTGTGATTCTTGATTAAAACCTTCTCGGTTATCTTTATACATGTATTTTCTCAGCATTATCTTTCTCATACATTGATTTTCTCAGTGTTATCATTATACAAGTATATTACACTACTATTATCTTCAATTAAACCACTAAATACACACATTTCTCCTATAACATACTATGAATTGGATATAAAATAACTAATGTGGGAATAAGATCTGTATTATATGAAGCTCGACTGGTTCGGGTAGTTTCTGTTGCACTGACAGGAATGTAACCAGATAACTTCCTCCAGACAGGAGGTAGCACGGTATGTATTACAGGGAAAAGTAAAAATCTGAGGAATCAGGAACCTTAGACAATAGTATCTTCTGGTTCTTCTGGCCTCGTGAGCCATGGTCTTTGCTTGTCCTATTTCCTACCTGCCTTGTTATAGCATTCTCAGCTAAGAATCTGCTGCTGCTGAAACCACAGTCTGGTCTTTCTTACTTGGTTAGAGCTCTGTGGCTTTCCTGGCCGCTTTAGCCTAACCTCAGCTCTCATTACGCACACTAAGACTAAGTTGAGATTTCCATGAATCTCCTTAGTCCTAAGTCAAATGGAAACTGAAAGCAGTTCAGGAAAGCTGAAACTCAGAGCTTGTCTCAAAGCACACTGCCCCACCACTTTGTCTCCAGTGCACCTGCACCCATCCTGGGTACCCATCCTCAAAGGCAGGCTCCTAGCACTGGTACGGGGGGTGACGTGGTTGCCCAGCAACTTGCGGAGTAAACAGGAGCAAGACCCTCGCTCACCTAAGGTGCCTTCACGCAACTGACGTGGCTGCCCAGCAACTTGCGGAGTAAACAGGAGCAAGACCCTCGCTCGTCTAAGGTGCCTTCACGCAACTGCTGTCGCTTTTCTCCATCCCCAGATTTCTCATGACTACAACTGACATACTACTATGTCCTATCTGTCATCGTCCAGCATACTCTACCCAAGATTCACCAGCTTCAGTGGAAGGAACAGTAGCATATAAATGGTTAAATCTTGGGCTCTGAAGTGAAAGTGACAGTGTTAGTCACTCAGTTGTGTCTGACTCTGTGGGACCCTGTGGACTGTAGCCCACCAGGCTCCTCTGTCCTTGGGATTCTCCAGGCAAGAACATTGGAGCGGACTGCCGTTCCCTTCTCCAGGGGATCTTCCTGACCCAGGGATCGAACCTGGGTCTCCTGCACTGCAGGCAGATTCTTTACCGTTTGAGCCACAGGGAAGTTCTCTAGAGTTAGCCTTCCTGAATTTGAATTCTGGCACTTCTCTTTCTAGCTCTATGGCATTAGACAGGTTCCTTTAACATGTCTGTGCTTCAGTTTTCCTCTGTGTAAAAATACAGGTTGGTAACAATATTCACTTCGAAGAATGTGAACAGCTTCTTGTAATAGTGATTGATACATATTAAGTGTTCTTCGATAAAGGTAAGTTATTACTGTAACTCCATTCAGTGACTCTTTCAGTCTCAACCTTCAAAATGAAACTGCTCGAGTGTTCCCTAACAATAGAAAATGAGATATGACAACTGTTTCAGATTATTCACCAGGTAAACATTTTCCTACAGGATTGCTGTTGTTTGCTATGTTGTGCTTTTTATTAAGGCTTAAGAGCACAGGAGACTTTTCTGCTGGTCCAGTTAGGACACTGTGTGTCCACAGAAGGAGGCATGGGTTCCATTCCTGGCTGGGGAACTAGGATCCTGAAGCCCTAACAATAGCGGCATTTCATGAATGACCATCTACTATCATCTACTATGTGTCTGGCTCTAGCTCAGCATTTTACACACATTACTTTCATTAGTTCTCCCAACCACCTTTTTAGGTAGGTGCTATTATTGTCCTCATGCTAGGCTTCTGCTGATATTTAGGGTAAAAGGAAAACAAACTTTAAATATGTTAGTTTTGTTCTTGACTACTGACATTAAGTTGTAAAAGCTGTAGATTCTTCTTTTTTCAATTTGGCAAAGTGGTGGGTTCTTATTTAATTAGAATTTTCTTGTTTGATACATGTTAGTTTTTTTTTAAGAGCTGTAAACAAAGCCAAGTAAATAAATAATAGCTGTTTTAAATGAAGTGTAAGTTATGTACGTGCTAAGAATTGTCAGGAATTTTTCATGATTTTCCAAATACTTACAAATTGGATCTTAAAATTCAAGCTTTCAAAACAACTTGAATTTAAGTAGAATATTTACTTTGTTCAAGTCTGTTTTTAAAGGAACTCAAGAAACTTATGAACTTTTACATTTTTTTCTATAAAATTTTAACCCTTATCCACACATTATATTGTATACTATTTCACCAGTGAAATACTAATCACAAATTCATATAAAACATCCTTTTAACCTTCACAGTTACCTGTTAAGAAGGTTCTCCACTTCTAGAACTTCTGCTATAGACGCTTCATTATTAGAAAGGAGACGAGCTTGAAATTTTCTGTCTTGGAAATCATATAGCATCACAATGATAAGACTGTTCAAATGATGTGGCTACCAAGGGGAAACACAGAGAAGGAATAGCATACAAATAATATCTAACAGCAATATTTCCCATTCCATTATTTTTCAAGAGAGCAGGAGTATGACTATTTTCACATTATCTGATTAAACTGGGAGATAGAAAAGGACTGCAAACTAGAAAAAAAATTCAGTAAAAAATAAGACTTTCAAAAAGGACAATTTCTGACATGTTCATCAAAATGAAAGGAGTAGGATCTATATTAGAAACTTAGAAGCAGGAAAGAGTTAAGGCTGTGTTTTGAAGATGTCTTAGCATTAAACAAACTAGTTATTTAAATCCCAAGGCTTATTTTTAGTACTTTCTAAATAACACTCATGAGACAGCTAATTTTATAAAAGTTATACACTTACTATTGTGGTACTTGGGAAGATATAGCTATCTATTAATATAGTTTCCAAAATATCTTGATCTGCAAAACAAAGAAAATGTCTGTTATGAAAATACCAAAGCTGAAAATGAAAACTCTGGAATCAAAACACACTTTAGCCAATACTGCAAAATACTTTTACTTTCATATCCAAAACAAACCTTAATTCTTGATAAAGACCCAAATTACAATGGCATAATGAAATATTTGTAATCTTTATGAATCCTAGACCCCTGTGACCCAGGCTCCACATGGTGGTGGTGGTGTTTATTGTTTACTTGCTAAGTTGTGTCCGACTCTTTGCAACCCCATAGCCTCCTCAGTCCATGGGGTTTCCCTGGGCAAGAACACTGGAGTGGGTTGGCAGGCCCTCCTCCAGAGGATCTCTCAGATGAGGGATCGAGCTGCTATCTCCTGCCTTGCTAAGCAGATTCGTTACCACTGAGCCACCAGGAAAGCCCGGGCTCCACATGGAGTCACAGTCCGAGGAGCGTTATCTGATAACCGAGGCAGTGATAAAGGGATTTCATCTCTAATTTACAGCCTTGAAAAACATTAAAGAGGATCTAATTAATAATGTCTTACCTTTCATGTACTGTTGAATTCAATTTGCTAACATTTTATTTAGGATTTTTGTTCTATGCTTATGTTCATGAAGGATATTGGCCTATAATTTTCTCTTCATAATATCTTTGTCAGTGTTGGTATCGGGGTTATGTTGTCCTTTATAAAATTTGTGGGAAATATCCCCTCTTCTTCTAGTCTGGAATAGTTTGCACTAAATTGGTGTTATTTCTTATTTAAATATTTGATAAAACTCACCAGTGAAGACACTGATAAGATGACACTTAATCTAAGACCCAAATGATAAAAGAGTTACCCATGTAAAGATCCAGGATGAGACAGCATTCTGGTCACAGGGATAATTACAAAGGTAATAAGTAAAAACATACAGACATATTTTGAAACCTCCACAGGGCACATGAGTGTTCCATTTGTTATAATGACAAGGATTAAATGGCAATTAGTACATACCTATCCACAATTACCTCAAATGTCAATGGACTAATGCTCCAATCAAAAGACACAGAGTGTCAGATTGAATGGAAAAACAAAACCAAACCAAGAACCTGCAATATACTGCCTACATGAGACTCACTTCAGGGTGAAAGACCTACACAGACCAAAAGGGAGGAGATAAAAATAAACAGCTCAAGAAAATGGGAACAGTAAGAAAGCAGGGGTGGTGGGACAGCCATACTCACATCAGACAAAACAGATTTTAAAACGAAGCCCATCAAGAAAAGCAAAGAGGGGCATTATACAATGATAAAGGGATCAATGCAAGAAGATAGCATGCTTGGTAACATAAATGCCTCCAATAGAGAAGCACCTAAATATATATTAAAAAGAAACACTAACAGACATAAAGGGAGAAACTAACAATAATACAGTAATCATAGACCTTAACACTCCATGATGATAATACAATAATAAAGAACCTTAACACCCCACTGACATCAATAGAGAGATTATTCATAGAAAAAACTCAATAAGGTAACAGAGGTTCTAAATGACACAATCATTTGAACTTAACTGATATCTACAAAACACTATATCCAAAAAAACCAGAAGACAGATTCTTTTCAAGGGCACATGGAACATCAGAATAGATCACATACTAAGTCATAAAACAAGACTCCACGATTTAAAAGGGTAGAAACTATTTCAAGCAGCTTTTCTGACAAAAATTCTATGAAACCAGAAATCAATCACAGAAAGAAAAATTGGAAAAAAATGAACATATGGAAACTAAACAATATGCTACTAAAAACCCAATGAGTTCAACAATGAAATCAAGACTTCCCTGATGGTCCAGTTGTTGAGAATCTGCTTCTAGTGCAGGGGGCGTGGGTTCAATCCTTGGTCAGGGAACTAAGATTCCAGATGCCATGGAGCAACTAAGGTTTTGAGCCGCAACTAGAGAGTCCGTGTGCCACACAAAAGACCCCCATGATTCAACGAAGATCCCGCACGCCACAACAAAGACCCAACACAGCCAAATAAACAAAGCAAAATGTATTCAAATTGGAAGGGATGCAGTAGAACTGTCACTACTTGGATATAATATGATACTGTACATGGAGAACCCTAAAGTCTTCACACAAAAACTATTAGAATTAATAAATGAATTCAGCAAGGTAGCCAAATACATAAATCTATTTTTACACGATTGAAAGGGAAAGTTTTTTTTAAAAAGTTATCTCATTTATTGCATTAAAAACAGCTAGGAATAAACTTAAACAAGGAGGTGAAAGACCTATACACTGAAAATTATAAACACTGATAAAGGAAATTGAAGATAATTCAAAGAGATGGAATGATAGTCCATGCTCCTGGATTGGAAGAATTAGTATTGCTAAAGTAAGTGGTCAGTCTACCTAAAGCACTGCACAGATTTAATGCAATCCCTATCAAAATACCCATGACATTTTTTAAGAACTAGAACAAATAATCCTAAGATGTATATGGAACCAAAAGAGGCCCAGAACTGCCAAAGCAACCCTAAGAAAAAAGAACAAAGCTGAAGGTATAACCCTACCAGATTTCAGAATATACTACAAAACCACAGTAACCAAAGTAGCACAGTATTAGCACAAAAACAGACATAAAGATAAGTGGAATGGAACAGACAATCCAGAAATAAACCCACATACCTATGGTCAGCTCGTCTAAGCTGACAAAGAAGGCAAGAATATACAATGGAGAAAAGACAGCCTCTTCAGCAAGCAATGTTAGAAAAACTGGACAGCTATTTCTATCAATAAAATTACAGCACTCCCTCACACCATCCATAAAAATAAATTCAAAATGGCCTAAAGACCTAAATACCACACATGACACCATAAAACTCCTAAAAGAGAACCAAGACAAAACATTTTTGGACATAAATAGTAGCAATATTTTCTTAGGTCAATTTCCCCAGGCCAAAAAAAAAAAAAAAAAAGAAATGAGACCTAATTGGTCAAAAGATTTGTACAGCAAAGGAAACCATTCACGAAACAAAAACACACCTATGGAATGGGAGAAAAGATTTGTAAAAAAATGACCAGCAAGGGCTTCATATTCAAAATAAACAAAGAGTTCATAAAACAGGTAGCAAAAAAACAAACAATCCAATCAAAACAGGGCAGAAGACCCAAATAGACATTTCTCCAAAGAAGATACACAGATGGCCAACAGGAACAAAAAGATGCTCAACTTCACTAATCATTACAGAAATGCAAATCAAATCCACAATGAGATATCACCTCACATCAGTCAGAATGACTATCATCAAAAAGTCTACACATAACAAATGCTGGAGAGGGTGTGGAGAAAAGGGAACCCTTGTACACTATTGGTGGGAATGCAAATTGTTGTAGCCATTATGGAAAATCATATGGAGGCTCCTTAAAAAAAAGAAAATCTATATCATCAGTATCCTACTCCTGGGTATATATCTAGAAAAGACAAAAACTCTAATTCAAGATGATAAATGCACTCCAGGGGCCTCTCTGGTGTCCAATGGCTAAGATTCTGTGCTCCCAATACCCGGGAGGGGCCTGGGTTTGAGCCCTAGTTGGGGAACTAGATCCCACATGTCACAACTAAGAACAGTTCACATGCCACAACAAAGACCAAAGATCCCACACGCCAAAACTAAGACCCAGTTCAATCAAACAAATAAATAAAAGTTTTTAACATTAAAAAAAAATACACACACTCCAATGTTCATAGCAGCATTATCTACAACAGCCAAGACATGGAAAGAACCCAAGTGCCCATCAATAGATGACTGACTTAAGATGCAGACTATATATATCTATATATATGTATATATACACACAACAGAATATTACTCAGTCATAAAAAAGAATGTTACTGCCATTTGCAGCAACATGGATGGAACTATAGAACACTATACTTAGTGAAGTCAGATAGAGAAATACAAGTAAGCTATCACTTATATGTAGAATTTAAAAATAATGCAAATGAATCTATATATAAAACTGAAACAGAATCACAGACATAGACAACAAACTTATGATTACTAAAGGGGCAAGAGAGGAAAGGGGGGACAAATTAGGAATATGGGAGTAACAGGGATTAACTATTATAAGTAAAATAGATAAGTTACAAAATTTATTTTATAGCATAGGAAACTGTATTCAATATCTTGTAATAACCTCTAATGGAATATAATCTGAAAAAATAAGTAACTGAATAATTTAGCTGTAACCTGAAGCTAACAGGATATTGTATACCAAATATACTTCAGTTTTAAAAAGGAATAATTATATAGGCACATGGGGTTTTTGTATCTGTGGAAGGAGGGTAATTTGACAACCTTCCTTCATGTTGTCAAACATTGTTGCTAGGAGAATTAAGTACTGTCCCTAAGACTTCCTTGAGAAAGGACAAGAAAGCTTGTACCTGATCTCTTCTGAACTTTGTCCTGTGTACATTTTCCCAGTGCTGACCTTAATCTTAATCCTTTCATTGTAATAAACTGTAACTATGAATATAATAGCTTTGCTGGGTTCTGTGAGTACTTCTAGTGAATCACTGAACCTGAGGGTGGTCTTAGGGATCCGTGACTACAGTTAGTGATTCCCAAAGCCATAACTCAATCATACATTAAGTATTTGCCAGGTTTTTCACCAACAGGTTACATGATTCTGAAATGACCAGATTACTGACACAACCAATTCCTTGGACTGAGAGGTCACCAATTAGTATATACACCTGAAGAGGTTGGAGAACGAATTAAGCCAGAAATAAGATCAACATTCAGAAAACTAAGATCATGGCATCTGGTCCCATCACTTCATGGCAAATAGGTGGGGAAACAGTGGAAATAGTAACAGACTTTATTTTTCTGGGCTCCAAAATCACTGCAGATGGTGACTGCAGCCATGAAATTAAAAGACGCTTACTCCTTGGAAGGAAAGTTATGACCAACCTAGATAGCATATTAAAAAGCAGAGACATTACTTTGCCAACAAAGGTCCATCTAGTCAAAGCTATGGTTTTTCCAATAGTCATGTATGGACGTGAGAGTTGGACTATAAAGAAAGCTGAGTGCCAAAGAATTGATGGTTTTGAACTGTGGTATTGGAAAAGACTCTTGAGAGCCCCTTGGACTGCAAGATCAAACCAGTCAATCCTAAAAGAAATCAGTCCTGAATACTCACTGGAAGGACTGATGCTAAAGCTAAAGCTCCGATATATTTTGGCCACCTGATGTGAAGAGCCGACTCATTGGAAAAGACTCTGATGCTGGGAAAGACTGAAGCCAGGAGGAGAAGCGGATGACAGAGGTCGAGGTGGTTGGACGGCATCACCGACTCAATGGACATGAGTTTGAGCAGACTCCGGGAGATAGTGAAGGACAGGGAAGCCTGGCATACTGCAATCCATGGGGCCGCAAAGAGTCAGACACAACTGAGTGACTGAACAACAAATAACAATAATTTATCTAACTGGGATCTGCGTTATTAAAACATGTCAGTCACAAAACACTTTCATAAAACAGAAATAAAGATTGAGAGAAAGAAAACGGTAATCTACCATACACATTACTACAACATGACCATCTAATCAATGGATTGATTTTATAAAGAATAATCTCAGTAATAAATAATCTCAGTAATAAAATAATAATTTTATTCCCGCCTGAAAAATCCCTTGGACAGAGGAGCCTGGTGGGCTACAGTCCACAGGGTCACAAAGAGTTGGACATGACTGAGCAATTAAGCACACAGCACACACAAAAGTAAGATTCAGTACTCTTATCAGGAAAAAATTGTCTGTAATAGAGTTTTGGCGTTAACATTAAACATCCATTAATTGACACAGATGCCTAGTGTGCATCTCACTGTTGCAAGGAGAAAATCTTAAAATGTTAATTTGACTGGTGATTTAAAGTACAACACTCTGGTTGGTCTTTAAGTTTTAAAACAGAAGAGGAGGGAAGGGATGAAATAGAATCTGAAAGTTTAAACTGGAGGAGGGAAAAATGGCTAAGACAGATTTTTTAAGAAAAATATCACAAGCCGAAACTAAAGAAATGAAACTCAGAGAGAAGCTGCCTCTGAACATCACACAAATTTTTCTCTGTGATGACAAATTGCTGGCTTCAGAGATGAGCTATATCATGTCTGTAGACAACCAAAAACACACATTTATAGCTGAGTAATTAATGGGACATTTTAATTCAACTGAACAATTGTTAACCAACTCTGAGCAAGGATGTCCAAGGCCCAATAAGTACTAACAGTAAGTAAATGATGCATGTAATGCCCTTTCTAGGTGTCTCTTTAGGAAGTTTTATCATTTTAGCCATGTTGCTAATACTCCAAACATTTCTGGAACTTCTTTTCAGTCAGTATACAAATCAACACAAACTTTAGTTTATACTGTATTACAGTTGATAGCTAGTACTAAAACCTGTCTCCAGGCCCTTTGACTGCTCTCATAGTAAAAATATTTGGTTCTGTACTGGAATCAACTCCATACTCAAAAGTTGATAATTACCCACCATCGAAGAAATCTGAAATATTACACCTCAAATCCTGGAGGCAAATTAGAAGGGATTTCGACAAAAATTTGGAAGAATAAATTTACAAGCTTTTAAAACTAAACAAAGCAAATGACAGTGAAAACGATCATCTTAATTTTGACCCACCTAAGCACAGGGAGATCTACAGTGGAAAACATATCTGACTGAAAGAGATTGTTTTGGAAACTCTCCTTAAAGGCTTGACATCTGCAACGGACCAAAGATATTCAGAAGTCTAAAAACAAAACCTGGTGTATGTGTGTGAGGGTGCGAGGAGGGGGTTCGATGCACCTCACAAATTCTCTCATTATTCTCGTTTAGGGCTGTCAAAACCGGTACTACTCACACTTAAGTGCACTGAAAGCCAACTCATAGGACAAACGCTGAAAGGATTCATCCTCGGATTCGGTTGAGGACGGCAAGGGCTCATTCCCATACTTTATTAAGGCTTTCTCTGGTGACTTTTCGAGTCTAATGCCCTGAAAAATATTCGCTGCCAGGATGTAAACGGAGTCCGGAAAGCCAGTTTTTTCGGGTGAACCAGTTGGGCTGTTGTCGCTGCATGGTGGGTCCCCTGCCAGTGCCAGCGAAGAGAGCTGGGAGATCTCCGCAGTTGTTTCTTCCAAAACCTCCAGTTCATTTGCGGAGTTAAACATGTTTGCCCCCCTGACTGTCCCAGGTAACTCAAGCTTGAATTACAGCTCAGATGTTCCGGGAAAGGGTTTTCCCTGTTCAAGCATCGTCTCTGTGAAAACAAAAGATTATCCCGCTTAAACCACTATTTCCGCAAGACCACACTTGGTGACCCACCTCGTGTGGCCCTAGAGACTAAGCGGCGGCATTCCCTGGCCGCCCTGAGCATCCCTTACTTCGAGCCGGGAAACCTCCACACACTCACAAAGGGAGAGGGGTGGAGACGGCTCCGAATGGCCTCCGAAGCGACGAGACCTTAACCGAGGCCCGTTTGGGTGCAGCGCTCCCCCAAGAGCCGCACCTGCGGCCCCTCGGGCGCTGCTTTCACTGGCTCCCGCGAGTCCTCCCTTACCCCAGAGGGCGGATGTTCCCCGGGGCTTTGGGAACAGAGACGCGGCAGCCGCGGCAGCACTTCGGGCACCGGTGGCTGGTATCTCACACAGCGCCCTCGGCGGCCCCGGGACTACTGGGCTGCCACGGCGGTCGCGCAGGCAGTTTGGTTCAAATGAGCTTCTCCCACCCTCCGGGGTCGGGGCAGGGGGGTCGCGACCCCCGGCTCTCGCTTCGCTCGGGTTCCTGAGGGAGGATGCGCCTCAGGGCTTCGCCCGCCCGCGCGGTCGTCTCCACGAAGGCGGCAGCTGAGCCGGGTGGAGCACGAGGCTGGTGGGCCCGCCGGCTCCGGCCGCGGAAAGGTAGGCCTCCCCCGTCTGCCGCAGTCAGCCGGCCCGCGACCCGGGTCTCCGTGGCAACCAAGGGCGCGGCGGGGGGAGGAACGCTGCCAGAGGGCAGTTCCCGCGGGATTTGGCGGCGCTTCCTTTCTTTCCGGAATTGCTCCTGCTCTCTCACCCCGGACACCTGTGCCTGCCCCTCCTCAGGTGGGCGGGCCCTGCATGATTGGACTGCTTGGAGATCCTCGACTTCCCCAGAATCGATCACAAGGGACCCTTCTTCTCCAACTCGTCCCCTGTGATCTCCTTGAAAGGAAGAATTTTGTGTTGCTGACAGCACCCAGTTTAGCGGGTTAGCGGGCACGCAGGAAATGTTAAACGGCTCAGTGTAGAACTATTGAAGAAAAAAAAAAAGGTAAAAAAACTGACGGGTCGACTGTGTTTCCACGCTTTTTAGAACAGTAGATACCACAGATATCACATTAGATGGCCCCTTCTAGGACTGACTGCGCGCGCTTAGCCGTGGTGGACTCTTTGTGGCCCCATGGACTGCGGCCCTCCAGGCTCCTCTGTCCGTGGAATTCTCCAGGCTAGAATACTGTACCGGAGAGAGCTGCCATTTCCTTCTCCAGGGGGGTCTTCCCAATCCAGGGATGGAACCCCCACCCCGTCTTCTGTTTTCCTAAATTGCAAGCAGATTCTTTACCCGCGAGCCACGGGTGAAGCCTTCCAGGGCAAGTTCTGTAAAGACGTGCCAGCCTCCTTCCCAGGAGTTGCCTGCAAAGAAAGATGTTGCTGAAATGGGCCTACAAACAACAAATTCACACCCCTGGAAGTATTGAATGGAGCTGGGGATATGTATAAAGTTCCCCCAAAGGGTTTTAATATGGCTACTTTAATTTTTGAGTGTCCTGGAGAGAAGTCTGCATCCTAACTCACCAAGGAAAAACCAGCTGCGCTCAGTCTTAAAGGTAGTGGAAAAATACTTTAATTTCTAGAATAAAAACCAAATGACTGAGATTTAAATTTATGTGCATCTTAAGCTTTTCATTGATTGCCTGTTAACCTATCTCCAAAGTGCCTGTTCTAAAACTGGAGAAAAAGAAGAGATTGCTTTTTTCCTCTACTCTATACCATTTGTATTGCTGCTTTGAAACTTCTCCAACAGACTTCAATGGGTCTAATAGTCTAATGACTTAAATGCCAGTCCTAATAGCTACAGCTTTTCTGTGTGCTCTCAAATTTTTCTTACGGTAAGATTCAATGAACAAATGCAAATATGAATATATAAAGATCATGTGATGAAAAGTAACATATATGTACTTCACATTTCTTGCCTGGTTTAGAAAAGTCCTAGATTTTAAAACAGAAATGGGCGTTGGATTGTGCAACTTGACAAATTATGTTTCAAGTTTTAAGTGAAAAAAATCATGAAATCATTTTTAAAATAAGATTTTATTTTATTGAAAATAAAATAGATGCTAATATCTACTTAAAAGAAAGAAAAATCTGCTAGATACTTGGTCTCCATTTTCTATATGAAGCAAAAACCAAAGCCTGCAAGTTGAATGAAGTTCTTCATTTTGGACTGAGATCAAAGTCACAGGAAAAGCTTGCAAGTGCAAGCCCCAAATTCAGCAAGAAGTATGATAAATATACTTGAGTAAATACCTTATTTGCTGCTGGTTGAGAATCTCAAATTTGGTTTGTCTTCTTTGTAGAAGTGGTCCAATCTGGAAAAGAAGCATAATTTATGTAACTAAGATCAGTATGGTCACTCAAGAGATTCTAAATTGTGTTCGCTGGTTCTTTCTCCATGTGTTAAACAGGAAGGGCTAGACTTTGGCATTTGGTAAGTTTATTATCTGTGTAACCTTAGGCAAGTCCTTACATCCCTGAGCTTCAGTTTCTGGACCTATAAGGCGGACTGTATAATAATGCTGCCTTTGAGGAGGTTTGTGAGTATTTAGTGGAATGATGTATATCAAGATTGTCTGGAAAGTAGTAGCTCAATAGTTAGTTCCTCCTTTCCCCCTCTATTGTTAAGAAGGGGAGAATGGATATTGGGGAACTATTAGTAGCAATTTTCTACAAATCTGTTGGCCCTGACCCCATCACCCACCATTTCACTCACTCCTATTAATCTCAATGTGTAGTCTCCCCTACTTTATGTTCCTGTAATATTTTTTGCATGCATATATGCTTTCATTCATTTATCAGATGTATATTAAATTCTTATCATGTGCCTCACACTTTCCTCAGTCTTGAAGTTTAAAAAAAAAAATTTATAGAATGATCGGGGACCTTACCCTCAGGAAATTAATGGATAAGTATACTTGTATTTTGAAACACTGTATTTTTTATTGTATATATTTATGTGTATCTCTGTACTCCCCACTTCTGCCATCCTTACTTGCACAACCCAAACAATACACACACTCTAAAAAGTTCTATTGTGTCTTTTAAGTTTTGTTATATCTTTTTATTCCCAGAAAGAGCAAAATATCACTCTTTCACATGCACAGATTACAAATATGAAGGTGTCTTTAGGGGTCATGGTATATTTTATTATGCATCACACAGTACACAGTATGATCTGTGGAAAATGTGAGATAAAAAGCTATCTATAAACTTTAAAATACTATTGTCTTTCAAAATATAGTTTGAGTAGCTCTTGTTTGGTTTTTTGTTTGTTTGTTTTAATGATATATCAATGTGACAACTCACTGTTGAAAACAAGATTTAAGGAGAGTCTTTATCCCCAAAGTAAAGCTTAGGCCAGCAGTTGTGGGTTAGTGAATTCGTGGTTACTATTTACTCTAATCCTGCCTCCTTACCTTTCAGTCCTGGTTTATGGGCTCATTGTGGACATAAAGTATTGGAGGGGAGGACTAGAGGGAAGCATATCAAATCTCAGTGAACACTCTACAAAAGTAACCAGAGCGATAGGTATGTGGATTCAGCTGTTGTGAAAGCGAGTATGAAAAAAAATCCAGCCTTTGTTTAAATTGAACTCTGTAATATGATCAGAACATTAAGTCAGAGATGATGTAGAAAATTAAAGGTTAGTTACCTGGAGCTTTCTGCAAAAGGAACTTAAAGGAGTGATTTTCTTTTAGATTTAAGGAGAGTCTTTATCCCCAAAGTAAAGCTTAGGCCAGCAGTTGTGGGTTAGTGAATTCGTGGTTACTATTTACTCTAATCCTGCCTCCTTACCTTCAGTCCTGGTTTATGGGCTCATTGTGGACAGAAAGTATTGGAGGGGAGGACTAGAGGGAAGCATATCAAATCTCAGTGAGCACTCTACAAAAGTAACCAGAGCGATAGGTATGTGGATTCAGCTGTTGTGAAAGTGAGTATGAAAAAAATCCAGCCTTTGTTTAAATTGAACTCTGTAGTATGATCAGAACATTAAGTCAGAGATGATGTAGAAAATTAAAGGTTAGTTACCTGGAGCTTTCTGCAAAAGGAACTTAAAGGAGTGATTTTCTTTCCCCAGGGGGTAGAGTATTTTTAAATATTTGTAAATTAACATTCCTTGTATTTGAATCAGAGCAGCTTCTGTATGTTAGTCAAGTAGGTATTCAAAAAACATTTGCTCAATGTCTGCATCTCCTTTGCTGCCCTGCAAATAGGTTCATCCGTACCATCTTTCTAGATTCCATATATATGCGTTAATATACAATAATAAACCCATGGTTGAGTCGTGTCGATGTATGGCAGAAATCAACACAATATTGTAAAGCAATTATCCTTTCGTTAAAATAAATAAATTAAAAAAAAAACAAACAAACACATTTGCTCACGCTTCAGTTTGATCTGGGCATAAAAAGTTGTGCTCAGTTCCACTGCAACTTGTTATAGAAATGTAAAAAGTGTATGAAACAAAGGATTTTAACTTATGTTCTTAAACATCACAACACAATTTATCATTATGGCTACTGAGAAATAGTACTACTGATTTTTTTTTTTTTTTTGGTACAATAATTCTTTCCCTTACTCTTTTTTATTTGACACAGCTATCTAGTGTTCCAGCCTGGACCTCAGCTTTTCCCAACTCTGAACTTTAGAGCTGATAGATGCTGAAATAGCCCATTCCAGAGGAGGAATAGATAACCCAACCCAAGAAGGCAGGAAACTCACTCTGAGGTAAAGAGCATCAATCCTCTGATGCTGTGTAAGTGTCGATGTGAAGGAATATTTTGCATTATTCAAGTGTTTCCTTTCCTAGTCGTTATGGAAACTTGTCCCAAGCAACTTGAAAAGGAAATGCAAAGATCCCTCTGGGAAAAATCAAAATATGATCGTGGGTTCTTTACCATGAGACAGTCAAAGATTAACCAGAAGAGCCATAACCGTTTGCAGAGGGATGGGGAAATCTTCCTTAATTTGGAAGCAGCAGAAAACTGAGATGGAGCAAAGAGTATTGAAGGGTAGGCAAGTGAAAAAGAACAAAAGTCCAATTGAGCAAAAGTGCCATTAGGAATAACTTTGAGATTTAGAAGCCAAAAATGACAACAGCAACTAAGGAGGAGTTTGTTACCTGAGATGCAAGAGGAAAAGAGGATTCGGGAGACTTGTAACCCTAGCCCTTGATTGTTCTTGTGGCCCAAGAGAAACAAGGATTACAACAGACAACCATTGTAATAAATTTCAGGCATACAGTAGTTTCCCAGAGTTAGTCATTCAAACACCACATTCATGAATTATTTTTACATATTCATATACTACCATTTATATTACTTACCCAGTATTTTATTTTAACTCAGAATCATGGTTTTTCTTAAATAGAAAACTTGTGCATGGAAAATCATAGTCATTTGCCATAAATGAAAATAACCACAACAAAAGCAAAATAACACTATTAAATTCTAGTTAGAAATGGTTGTACCAAAGCTCCAGGCTTGAGATTGACTGTTCTTGGTTAAAAAGGAAAATGGGTGGGCTTCTAGGTGACTCAGTGGTAAAGAATCTTCCTGCCAGTGCAGGAGACAGGGGTTCAATCTGTGATCCAGGAGGATCCCACATGCCACAGAGCAACTAAGCCTATGTGC